GAGATAAAATAGACATACCTTGATGGCTTAGGGGGACTGGTAGGGTTGGAGATTCGCTGATCGATAGTCGCTGGAGTATTTGGTGAGGGTTCACTGGAGCGTAATGGGTGGGATTTAAAGGGTTCACTGGAGCGTTTTGATCTCTGTAGTTAGTTGTATTTATCTGATGTGCCAATTATAAATGAGGTTTTAATTCACTTGAATTGTTCTACCCATATGATTGAATTTAATGAGATTTTTTCTTTAGTCATTGTTTAAATTCCTTGTTTGGTTGAGAAATAAAATTTATTTACAGATATAGATATGATTTCACAGACATTCAAAGCCAATGGAGAAAAAACCGTGCATTTAAATCCTACCCCTGGATCAAAACATAGCACACCATTGAAATCAAAGAGTACTACTGCTACTGGTGCATCCTGTGAAGCTTGTGGGAGGAACATCTAAGACTTGCCTAACTGCTTTTGCTCTGTTGCTTGCAAGGTAAATAATGATGATGAACACATTTTCATAGGTTCATTAATTACTTGATCTCCATTTCCTACATAGTAGTTAAGCTTGTCAACGTGTCATGGAAAATTATGAATATTTAGGTATTGATAGATTCATTACAGATCTTGTGTAAAGACCAGAGCCAAGAGATGATTGCAATCCCAGTGATCTCCATTTCCTACATAATAGTTCGAAGCTTGTCAACATGTCATGGAAAATTATGAATATTTAGGTATTGATAGATTCATCACAGATCTTGTGTAAAGACCAGAGCCAAGGGATGATTGCAATCCCGGTTCTTGAATTTGATGGCCTGTCTGAGAAGCAAGGCCCTGGCTCAAAAAAGGATAAAAATGAACACGAATCATCCAGAGAAAACCAAGCCATTGTGAGTTCAGCATTAAAGCCAAAGGGGCGATTTCGAAAGAGGAAGGGTGTCCCTCGCAAGGCTCCTTTCAGTTAGCCCAAAAGAATCATTATTTTATTAGTTTCTAACAGTAAGAAAATCTTTATTGCACCACATTCTTTCCTTTAGATTACACAAGGTATATTCCCAATAAGACAACATTCTAGGAATGGGTGAAGGGCAGAGAGAGAAAGAGAGAGGAAGAGGGGTACCTGGGCGACTGCAGAGAAAGGGAGACATGGCAGAGGCTAGCTGTGTAGCTGGGGATGTGGTGGTGTTGCAGACGAAGTGGCGATGGTGGTGGTGTTTCTGGTGTTCCTCGTGGCGTCACTGGAGCGTAACAGAGAGAGAGATGGAGAGAGAGAGAGAAGGTATTGCTTGTCTAAGAAAAGGGATGGCTCTCTGGTGGTGTTGCTGGTGTTTTTCGTTCGGATACAGATCTTGGGTTGGGTTGAGTTGGATGTGATGGTTGAGTTTAGTTAAGTTGGGTTGGATGTGATGGTTAGGTTGGGTTAAGTTGAATGAGATGAATTTAGGGGGAAAATATATGGACTTTTGAATTTGAATGAGATGTATTGTGAGCCTTTGGATGTTGAAGCCTTTGGATGAATGAAGATCGTACGATCGGCTTATTGAAGCTCCGCTCTGTTTTATATTATAGATTATAGATTATAGATATTAATAGTCCAAACAAAAAATTTAAATCCATGCCTAAACAAAATATTTCAACTTAATTGAGTCTATTAATTCAGCTGTAAAATTAAAAGACTTTAAAATTTATTTTTTAAATAAAGAAAAAAAACTAAATGTAAAACTAAAATTACTAAAAAACCTAGTTTTAATCCTAAAAAAAGTCAAGTTTAAACTTCCCATTGTTTCAATTATTATTTCTCTCTCTCTCTTACCATTAAGTTCAAATATGACAACAAAAATTTGAATATAAAAATATAATTAATATTTTTATATTTAAAAAATTTTAAAATTAAATTTATTATTAATATTAAAAACAAAATGGCCTTATTTATCGTTTCTTCTTTAGGCTCCAAAATATCTTAGTTTATCTTTGATAGTTGTCAAGATTGTACTCAGCAAACAGTTGAAGTCCTGAACTAACTAGTGAAGATTCTATTATCTCTCTCTCTCTCTCTCTCTCTCTCTCTCTCTCTCTCTCTCTCTCTCTCTCCAGACATGGTAGATTGTGATAGAGAGGCTTAACTTGAGAGCAATTGTCAGAGCTGATTTACCCTTCCAGGTTTGATAGCCTTTGTGAGAGTTAGCATTCAAATAATAGATGATAATGGGTCTTATCTGTTTCCCTACACAAACTACATGGAGCATTGGTATTTGGTGCATACATTGAATGCTATCCTTGGCGCTTAGTTTCCATGAAGTCATAGCAAGGAAATTGAAGAATTTGAATGGGGATCTTCTTTTTGGAATTGGGGGACCTAGTCTAACCACACCCCTGGATGGTGATCAAATACAATAGAAGGCATAAATTCTACAGCTAAAAGTGTGAATTGGTTTAACCATCTTTCATTGATCAGGATTATGTCCAGCCTCCGTGATATGCAATGAGCAATTTCTCTTCTGTTACTCCAAGTATAGTGCCATCCAGTGTATCTAAGGTCCATCATATCAGAATCTTTTAGGTAGAAGTCAAAGTCCTCTACGGCCTGAGTCGGCGCCGGCCCATGCACTAGGCCATTAAGGCCATTGCCTTGGGCCCCAAATGTAACAAAAATTTTAGGGCCTCAAATTAAATTTTTATGAATTTTTTTGGAAGTCGGTACACCTAATTAGACTTATTTGACAAAAAATATATAGAATAAAATGTGAGTTAAAAAGACATAAATACTTATTTTAAGGTTATTTAATTCAAAATCTTTTATCTTTAATACACCTTGATTCATGTGGATTGGTTAATACATGTTTAATGCAAATTTGATTCATGTGTATTTGTTAATACATGTATATATATATACTTATTTATATACACACACACTATACGAATATATATACTTATTTATATACACACTCACACACACATACACACACACACACACACATATATATATATATATATATATATATATATATATATATATATATATATATATATATATATATATATATATATATATATATATTTTGTTAAATCTCTTATTTAAAATTTGAATTATCTTTAATGTACCTTGATTCATGCGTATTTTTTTTTTTGAAAAGTGATTTTGTTTTCAAATTATATTTAATACACCTTGATTCAAGCGTTTTTTTTTTTGGAAACTAATTAATTGAATATCCGAATAATGTAATAGTATAACAAATACTCTGTAACAAAAATAATGTTCAGTAATTTTGTGTATATGGTAACAAATTCAAAATGGAGATGGACTATTTTTAATGAAATTATATGAAATTATATGTTCGACAAAATGTAATAGTACAATATTTTGTGTAAATAGCTTGATACACTATTATTGTTATACTGTTACATTGTTAGTGTTACATTGTTACACTTTTATTGTTACACTTTATATTGTTACATTATTCAGATACTAAATTAATATATATATATTAAAGTTCTCCCATAAAACTGGAATATGTTTAATGTACCACTTTTCAAAGAAAAGTGGTGAATTAAATACACATGGATTAATGGAGGGCAAAAAGGTCACAATAAAAATAGATAAATTCAAATTATATACTTGGATACAAATAAGTATCAAAATTAAGTATTTAATAACCCTACATTTTTTAGTGTGTATTTTTTGCCAAATAAATCTAATTTGGTATACTCCCTTACAATTTACCCAATTTTTATACAATTTTATTAGACTTAATTTTTCGGTTTAATTTGACTTAATGCATTTTTACCATTAAATTAGTAAGGAAAAATAACATTGAATAAGTTTACTAAAAATTAAATAACTATAATTTATTAAGTGTTAAAATTAGGTCCTAAATTAAATACAAGTAATAGTATTGTAAAATTTTTAGAATTTCTTACAAAACCATTTAGGGCCTTAAAGTTTGAGCTTATGTGTTTTATATTTGCCCAATGTTTATGGTATATGAAAAATATGTGTTATCACCTAATAAATATTTTTCTAACTTATTATCAAAAAAAAACTATATAATACATTGTCTATCAGCTAATAGTTATAAATTATAACTTTATATATTTTTAGATTAAATTTGAGGTTACTTCAAATTTAGGATAAATTTTTACTTAATAATTTTTTTAAAGCGTATAAAAATGACTATAAAATAAAGTAAATAGAAGTATCTCACTATTTGAAACTAATTATAACCATAATTGTATTACAAAATTTCTTAGTTAAAACATTCCGATGGTTCTCTACAATATTAAAACATGTTTCATACTATTTAACTTACACAAATTTTAACTTTTTATTTATTATGAAAAAAAAAATCATTTTGTTAGTTAGTTTAAATTCTCATTCTCTTTAATAGAAAATTAACTAAATTATATTTGGTCAAAAATTTGACTTTTGCTAATTGAATTTTAATGTATAAAACTTGAATTTAAAATTTCAATTAATATTTTTGAATCTCAAAAAGAAAAAAAAATATTAAATAATTTAATTTTTGACAATTATTTATATTATTGCAAAATGTATTAATAGGGCCTAATTTAAAACTTTTGCCTAGGGCCCCCAAGTATGCTGGGCCGCCCATGGCCTGAGTCCATCTACCATGGCCTCCTTGACTTTCTTCCAGACTTCTGATGACATTGAAGTCACCAAGTAGCACCCAAGGCACATTGGACTATACGTCAGCGTGATATCTGATGTTTCTCCATAATAATCTTTCATATTCATCATTAGAACCCTATACTATGGATGCAATGAATGTTACTTAGCCATCAGAGCTCTAAACAATATAGTGGATAATTTGATTAGTTTTAGATATTTTAGACACCTCTAGTGAATTAGGGTCCCAGCCTATCCAAATTCTACCATAACTGGGACTGTGGAAATTGGTTATACTATTCCAATTTCCAAAAGTGTGCTGAATCACAACAGGTTAATTCACCAACCTGACTTTAGTCTCAACAATACCCAAGAAGTGTAAGTGATTATTTTCCTAATTTCCTACTAATTAGAGGACTTTTTGAGTCCTCTAATGTTCCAACGTGCCAGATTAATGATAAGAAAAGTGATTTCCTGAGCTTAAGGATCTCCGGTACCCTTTGCTTCCCATGGTCAGTTGACTTCTTTTTGACTTTCTTCTTCTTGGTGGTTGCAATCTCCTTACTAGATATCACAGTATTCTGCTCTGCTGGAGCTAAGAGAGATGTGAATTCTAATGAGGGTCCAGGTGGATGCTCAGAGTTTTGTGCAAGCTTAACTACAAGATGGCCACCTTCAAGTTCTAAGCAGTCAAACTTATTAGGGGAGTTAATAGGTGAGGTAAGGATCATATGAGGAGTCATTTTGTTTATGTTGAATAGAGGTGACAATAGAGTCAGGCGGGGGATCAACATTTGTAGCGGGCTTGCTGTAACTAGAAGTATCAGCAGTTGGTTGGATTTAAGATAGGGGGTTTGATGGTTCAGTAGGGAGCGGAAGTTTCTTAGCAGTAGCCACTACATCATTGTATTTGTCCTTGCAAGCCTTGGTTGGAGCCAGGGTATCAAGCTTGGGCCTCCCAGCAAGACTATTACTTAGGGCAGTTAGCATCTTCATTGCCAAATATTTGGCATGTATGGTATGCCTTGGGCTTTCATTGGCATTCAGTATTTATCACCACAGTTTCTATCCTTTCATTTAACTTCCCCTTCAAGTCAAATGAGTCAATGAGCTCTGTTGTGGCCTTGATTTCTACATAAACTCTAGCAAAAATTATTCTTTTCTTCTTAGTGGTTAGAGTGTCAGCATAGAGGGGTCTTACCAATTGCACTTGCTATGTAGCTAAGACCATCTTCATTCCAGTATTGCAATGAAATGTTGTGAAGTTTGATCCAGATTGGGGTGGAGGAGTGGCTTTCTTTGGCCAAGATCATGGCTGGCTACCATTTTTTAAGTATGAGAGGTCTACCAGAGAAGAATCAGGGGTCAGATTAATACACATTTTCCCTAGATTCATCATTCATAAATTTGAAGTAAAATAAGCCTGCATCATTAGCAAGGACATCAAGCAGGCCAAGCTTATCCCACAATTTGTGAGCAATGAAGCTTACTGATGAGAAAGAAAGTTTTTTACCAATAAAGTACCCTACTAGACATGTTTTCCAGTCAAGGCTACCTTGGTTGCCAATTTATTTCAGAGGGTGAACTACCGTTCTATCATTCAACTTGTTAGGCTCAAAGAACTTTAATCTCATTACCTCATTTGTTGCGTCACCTGCTGAAGCAGAGCGGGGGTGCCACCATCCCCTATTTTAGTATTTGATTCTAAGGTACTTTTGGGGCAACAGATGCATGAGGGCTATTGGCTAAGCAGCTAGTTGCTGGAGCAGACTTAGCCATTTGGTTGGATGGATTTTGTGGTGCGTGCGCAAACACCTCTCTTTTTCCTTTGGGTGTGAGGGCTTGTTTACCAGGCACACTTTGTTGGATGTGAATTTCACTCACCGCTTCCTCAGCCTTCTTGGGACCACCTGAGCACTTTGAGGGGCCATTGTGAGGCTTTGATTGGAAGGCAATAGTAGGGGAAGCCAACGAATCTGGTTCGGGTACCTTTGAGAAGGGTTGTCTTGACTGGTTGAGTCAACTTGGGCATTTGGGTCTTTAATCGGGTTATTGGCTAGAGTTGGGGCCACTCTCTTCGGTTTTACAGTTGGGGAGTTTTTCTAGAGTTATTTGATTGTTGCCATTGATGACAAGATACCATTGTATTTTGATTTCTTGTTGGAGTTATATCATAATTTGTTTATAGAGAAAGAGCAAAACGTGTTGCACAAGGATTGCAATCTTCTCTATCCTCTAGCCCCTTCTCACCCTTTTTTTTTTTTTTTTTTTTGGAGGGAGGGGGGAGAGAGAGAGAGGAGGGAATGAGATTAAAATCCGCAACCACCCATATGGAAAGTGAACTCATCTCACTGCACCGTTCCCTCATCCCTCCCACCCACTCCCCCAGAAGCAAGGAGATTACAAATTGGACTCAAGTAAATTGCATGTACCAATTGTTCATACCAATTTTTTTACACCAATACTATAAATAAATTTAAGCAAACTCTCTATAGATTATGATGGTGCTCAAAAAATGAGAGGCGTGAGGTAGAGAGTTAGATGAGCTATTGGCGGATGTGTCGTGTGTGTAAAAATGAATGAGAATACACAAGAAAATAAGTGATTCACCAGCTATAGAAAAACTTAGTTAATCCACTGTAATAGAAGCTATTGCTCCCTTGATTGTATATTGTTTTCTTGAAAAAGAAAAGTACAATAGAATTTTTTACTTACTTAAGACCCCCTTTTACATAGTGATATTGTCTTTTATAACAAAATATTTAAGAAATGTTTAGGAAATATTCAGAGAATATTTGGTGCGACTTATTGTCTAATGTATGGTTTGATGGCGAAAACTCTTTTTTGTCTCTTCTGGTAGTTTCTTTATTATTTGTTGCATCCTGTATGCAAAGTGAACTCATCTCACTGCACCATTCCCTCATCCCACCCCCCCTCCCCCAGAAGCAAGAGACTACAAATTGGACTCAAGTAAAATTGCATGTACCAATTGTTCATACCAAATTTTTTACACCAAATACTATATACTAAATTTAACCAAACTCTCTATAGATTCAAAGCCTGATGCTCTTGACATTCTTCTTTTAAATTCTAATATGTGAATTTCAATCTTCGAGCATGTTCTAGGAGCACAACTAAAGGTAGCACAGAGGTTCAAATCTGACATGGCATGACTTCTTTGAACCTGCACTCAGGAATGGTAATACTTTGAAAAATGCATGTTGTCTTTACTACACCTTTATTTAATTTGCTCAATGGTGAATTATCTATCATGTGTTAGGTGAATAACTCACTTATAAATAATTGATTTTGATGGTGCTTGAAAATGCTTAGCCCAAGTCCAGAATGGTGATTTAATGGTCTAGAAAAAAGATGATAGTGTGAATATATGAATTGAGCTGTAAGATGAATCAAAAACAGTATATAAATGGTTCACTTAATCGAGAGATTTATGCTATGTGTCCACTGTAATGGAATCTCTTGCTCCTTGGGGGTGTATATTTCTTGAATAAAAAAATTACAACAGGTTATTTTCTTTAAAGCCTATTCATACAATGTTATAGTAATACCAGTATATTAGTGGGAGAAATTGTCACTCCCCCTATATGATAATGTTCTATTTATACGGATAATCCTTCTAGGGCTTCTTACGACTTCCTCTCCTCTTTTTGTTGATTCTGTGGTCCCTTTTTCTTTTGTCCTTTAATGATTTCTGTCAAGCGACGCCACTGTACCCACGATTCTTGAATGATTATGTGCACAAATATTCCTTTCACCCAAGAGTACATGATCGTTAGAGGCTTCAAAATTG